TCTCGTCACAGTTGGAGCCTACCAGGCGCTCTTTTCTGCATGTCAGGCTGTGGTTGATGACGGAGATGAGGTATGTATTTAACACCACGACTCTAAGGTGGATCTGTAGCCTTTCAAGTACCTTTTTAATCCATCCATCCATTTTCATCCGCTTATCCGTTACCGGGTCGCGGGGGCAGCAGTCGCCACCCAAATCACATTGCACCGTACCAAACCTTCCTCCCAGGAGGTGAACCCTGGGGTTCCACACCAATGACAGAGACAGTGCCTCTGGGCCAAAGCGCCACTTCCTTTTTAATGTAATACTTCAAATCCTGTCAGTAAATTGGGGCTGTATACTGGGGGGGGGCAACTCTAGTACACATTTGATATGATCTCACGGACCAAATATAATTACACTGTGGGTGAAATTTGGCCCCTGGGCCTGAGTTTGATGCGTGTGTTTTAACTCTTGAATTCCTGAAGACAAAAAAATGGTACAGACCTTTTCTCTTCCAGGTCATTGTCGTTGAGCCATTCTTTGACTGTTACAAGCCCATGGTGCTGATGGCCGGGGGAACGCCCGTCTATGTACCCCTGAGGCCCGTGAGTGATTTGTACACACGTAAGATAAGACTCATTGTGTGGTTCAGTGAAAGCATTTACACTATATTCTGTGGTTCTTGTTGTTAAAGAAAAGCGAGAGCAGCAGCATCCAGTCAAGTGGAGACTGGGTTCTTTCTGCTGAGGAGCTGTCCAGTAAAATCACTCCACGCACGAAAGCCATCATGATTAACACTCCCAACAACCCACTGGGAAAGGTAATTGCAAATACTGCAAAATATTTAACCGGAATTTTATATTCCTTGATGTAAATTGGTATTTTATTTTGTAGGAAATAAAGTAGACACAGATGTGGACAAGACATATTGACTATAGAAAAGGGAAAGGATTCATGTTTGAGACTAGTGCGTCAGTGTGTAGCATCAGATAAAGTCTCTGGTCTTGTGTTGTGTTGACATTTATGCACACTTGTTACAACTTACAGGTTTTCAAGACCGAAGAGCTCCAGATGATCGCAGATCTGTGCATCAAACATAATTTGCTTTGTATCAGTGACGAGGTGTACGAGTGGCTGACGTATGACGGGGCCGAGCACGTAAAGATAGGTGAGGAAGAATGTAAAGAGGCCTGTCAAAATGAATGTCGTGACCACAAGTCTTTAATTGTGAATTTAATTCAAACTATAGTCACACAAATTCAGAATATGTGCACTGAAAATTCAGTGAGTTCATCGTCTATTTACTTAGCATTATCATACACTTAATATATAGGCATCATTTTCTACAAATGTTTCCAAGTAAATAATTCTATAACTTGGATTAGTTTCAAATTAAACTGCAGTGAAACAATTTCATAAACCTGTGGTTATTTGCCTTTCTTCTCTATAAATTTAAAGCAATGTATTTCGATTAATCATAATTAATCTTGATTAATCCCCAAACTTGAATTGTTCGACAGCCCTAATGTAAAGCTAACAATGCAGAGAAGTCACCGAGCAGTTTTAGAGAAAAATAACTGTTTGTGTTCTGACATTGACAGCCAGCCTACCTGGCATGTGGGAGCGAACCATAACCATTGGCAGTGCCGGAAAGACTTTTAGCGCCACCGGATGGAAGGTAACGCAAAGTTGTGTTTACGTCAACAATATCGTGTGCAAGAGTGTTAATTAGGAGCTAAATGTTTGGTCTTCTGTTTTAAGGTGGGCTGGGCTATTGGATCCAGGCACGTCATGAAATACATTAAAACCATCCACCAGAACACAGTGTATCACTGTGCCACCGCTGCTCAGGTAAACATGTTGGTCTGTTGCTGAGCGATGTAAGTACTTATCAAGCGAGTTCCATTTTAAGGTGAAAATCGAGTTACGTCATGTTGTAGGAATGGAACTCCAACATAAGTCAAGGAATTGAACTATTATTGAGTCCCTGGTAATATTTATTTATTTGTTTTTCTGTTCTAACCACTGTATGAGTTGCTGGCACCAGCAATGCTGCCATCTAGTGGTCTAGTAGTCATAGTCCACATTTCATTGTGTGCAGTCGTGTGCTTTGCATCAGTGTATTATTCGCTTTCATACACCGCCGTTTTCCCCCCAATCTATTTTAGAGCACACATAGAAACCCAGGCATTGCGCTTTCATTATCAGAGGAAAAACCGATAAAGGTTCTTACAGAGATTACGTAATTATGGTAATATCAGGACGATAATACAGTTGACGTTATCGGACACCGCTAGTTATCAGCAGAGGACAAACTTCATTGTGTGCTGTGCTGTGCATCAGTGGCAATAATTCACGTTCACCTGCCTTTTTGTCTTTTGTCTGGTTTCCTTCTCTGCCTCTGAAGGAGGCAGTTGCCCATGGGTTTGACAGAGAGTATGAACTGTTTGGGACTCCAGAGAGCTACTTCCAGCAGCTGCCTGCTCTTCTGCAGCAAAAGAGAAAAAGGTTAGCCTTGTGTCTGGAGAGTGTGGGTTTGAAACCCATCATGCCGGAGGGAGGCTATTTCATAATGGCAGACATCTCCTCTGTCAGTGAGTGACAACCAAACACACAGCTGGAGGAGTACACGAACACTACACTGTGATATGAGATACAATAAAGCAGAGGATAATTGTAATCAGTTACTCTGGTTTTTTACCCACAGAAATGGAGTTTAATGATGAGAACACCAAGGATGAACCTTATGATTTTAGATTTGTTAAATGGCTCATTAAAGAAAAGGTAAAGACACCAACGAAACACATTTTTACATGTGTTTTGTAATCATTTGTAATCAGAGATGTGTGCTACTTTTATGACATTCGACTGATAATGTGTCTTTTTCTTTTGCAGGGCTTAGCAACAATCCCCGTCTCTGCTTTCTACAGTTCAGAGCACAGCAAAGACTTTGAAAAATACATCAGATTCTGCTTTGTGAAGGTAATTTCTACCTAATTTGTGGACAATGAATAGACGTGAGCCCTTTTTCTTTTTTGGTCTATCTAACGAACCCACTCTCCACTCTGCCACTCAGGAGGATTCCACCCTTAATGATGCAGAAGCTATTTTGAGGAAATGGAGCCAGGAACAGCAAAATTCCTCAATGTGAAGGATTTTACTCACTTAGTGGTTAAGGAAGTGGACTTGGGTCTGGAAGGCTTCAGGTTTGAGTCCATCAGCTGCCAAGTTACCACTGAGGTGCTCTGAGCATGGCACCGTTACACAACAGTGTTTTCTTTATTATCACACTATAGCCCACTTAGGAAGCTGCTCAGGTATGTTTTTTCTAGAATGTACCCAACAAACTGTGAATTGCAAAATCTATTAAAGTTGTTGATTTCTTAATTTGCTTTTAAATTGTGTGTGTGTGTATTGACACATGTATTTTAAAATATATATATTATAACTAGTGTAAAGAAAGGTAAAGAGCAGGTAAAAACAAAGGCGCATGTAGTCGAGGTATGAGAGTTTAGTCTCAGTCAACATAATAAAGTACAGATTAGAGGCACAGGAAATTGGGTATAAATGTCAGATGTCAACGACACTGGAAAGAAAGGTTTCTAACGACCCAGATTAGAGGCACAGGAAAGCGGGTGTAAATGTCAGATGTCAACAACACTGGAAAGAAAGGTTTCTAACGACCAAATGAGCTGAGCAAATGGAAGAAAGAGAGTGACAGTCTCCTAGGGCGAATATTTGGACAAATGTTAAAAAGACGAAGATCAGAGTGATCACAATACTTTAGAATTTAGTATTTTAGCACGGAATCAAAGTTATTTATAGGGAATCAAACTTAAAACAGAATTTTCTTCAAAATATGGTACGTCGACTTTTATTTTGAAAAACGGTTTTGACCAGGAAGTAAATGAATGTCACATGTTTTTGCGTGTAAACATGTCTACCAACGCACCGTCCAAGAGACCAGCAGCTCCTCAGGTAACAATTCTAATGTATTATTCACAATGGATATATAAAGTCATTATTGAACCTGGCAACTGAAACGTTGTGCTTGTTTTAGCCTGAGGAGAGAACTGACTGGAAAAAAAGAAAAGCAGAAAGTAAGTAAAACCGCAGCTATTGTAGCTCGTAGCCTTTAGCTGCGTGTGTGCTTTCTCAGCTGAGATGGTTTGACAATTAAACTACAGACATTGTGAGACTTTGTTTTTACTTTAGGTTAACGATATTTTCATTTAAACTCAAAGGACATAACTTAATAAGTCATAACTTTTGACTTAAAAGCTATAACATTTCATATTCTACATCATTGTATAACTACAGTAAAAAGTGGTTCCTTTGCTCAAACTACTACCAGATATAAACCATCCCGAGTTACAGTATTGGTTTTATTAAAATAAGTTATTGTTGTATACTTCTGACTATATTTCCTGGTCCATTTTATTTTCTTCTAAAATAAACAGTTAAGGAAACCAGTAGGAAAAGGAAAGAGGCCAAGCTGATCAAACAGCTGGAGAAGCAGAAACAGCTGGAAGCAGCACAGAGAGAAACGGCTGAAAAAATTCAAGTCAAGAATGGTAAGTACTTCACGTTAGGAAATATTTTTGGCCAATCTGAGACTAGGTCACTTGAATGTTTTGTGTAAAATGTAAATGTCACAGGTCGGCCGTACACAGTGAGCGTCGCCCTGCCTGGTTCTGTTTTGGACAACGCTCAGTCTGCTGAGCTCCGTACATACCTGGCTGGACAGATCGCTCGAGCCTGTGTCGTCTTCTGCGTCGATGAGATCATTGTGTTCGACGAACAGGGAGAAGATGTAAAGTAAGTGGTGACAAAGGATAAAAAAATGATATGACCTTAATACCGAAATACTCAACAACAACAAAACAATGAACTTTTACTCTCTGGTTTCAATGACAAAGGATAAAAAAATGATATAACCCTGAAACCAAAATACTCTAACAATGAACTTTTACTCTCTGGTTTCAATCCACAGAAGTGTTGAGGGAGAATTTACAGGCGTTGGGAAAAAAGGCCAAGCTTGTATTCAACTGGCCAGAATACTTCAGTATCTTGAATGTCCACAGTAAGTACCACATATTTACCATATCATTAGTGTATTAGCTTATGTGATCAAACACGTGTGTTTATGCGTCTTCTCACCTTTTCACCAGGTACCTGCGCAAATGGTTTTTCCCAAAACATCAAGATTTACAGTATGCAGGTTTGTGGCACCAGAACAAACTGGAACATTGGGAGGTTTTTTCGAACTACTTACGACATCTGTAAATTTCCTTGATTCCTCTCTCGCCTCCCTCCCCACCTCCCTAACCAGGGCGACCCCTTTAGACAGTCCTCACCACATGAGGATAGATGAGGAGTCTGAGTACAGAGAAGGATTGGTCCTGGACCGACCAAGCAAACAAGGAAAAGGTTCTTTAGTCAACTGTGGGATGAGAAAGGTGAGCATGTTTGTAGGCTAATAGCTTATCAACTAACACAAGTGTGGGCAAAATCTGTGACTCGCAGGCTAATAGCTTATCAACTAACACAGGTGTGGGCAAAATCTGTGACTCGCAGGCCACAATTGGTCCTAAAATTTGACAGGGGGTCAGGAGCAGATAGATGGAGCGTTCGTGTGAACTAAGATAAATGACACGTAAAAGTCATGCATAAAAACTACGCTAGCTGAACGGGCCGCATCTGGCCCCCGTGCCTTAGTTTGCCCATGCCTGAGCTAACATATGTGAGTAATATTTTAGGTTTAGAATGATAAAAATATACTTCTGTTTTAATCATGAATTACATTTTTTAAAAACCTAGTCATTTAATTAGATTTTTGCAGTTTATAATTGAAACATTTTGACAGGTTTTTTTGGCTTATTGAAAAATGTTTGCTCTTGCAGGATGTTCGCATTGATAAACAGCTGCAGTCTGGACTCCGGGTCACGGTTAAGCTCAACAAGAACCAAAATCAAGGTAAAATCCTTTGAAATTAAATGATAAGAAATGAATAATGTTTTTTTGTAGTTGTTATACTACTGAAAGTGTTTTGTTCTTGGCTGCAGAGAGTAAAACATATCACGGTGTTGTGGTGGCCCCCCATGTGCCCAGGACTGAAGGAGGCCTGTACTGGGGCTACAGTGTCCGTCTGGCCTCATGTCTCAGTAGGTTCACTACTCTGTGATCTGCTCTCCTTCAAACACACGTTGGACTCGTCTTTTACTGTATTGCTCTGCGTAAAGCAGGATTCAAACGGACATGTGTTGGTTTGTCATTGTAGGTGCAGTATTTACAGAAGGTCCATATAAAGAAGGATATGATCTGACCATCGGAACATCAGAGAGAGGAAACGACATGGACCAAAGCTCGCTGTCACCGTTCAAGTAAGCAGGGTTATCAATCAGATAGAGGTTGAAGACTTTTCTAAAAATGTGGGAGAGAGAGATGGTGATGAGAGTTGAGTTTCAGAGTGAGATGCTGCTATTATGACCTCCTTCAAGGCCTTTTCTGTTGAATTTGTTTAAATCTGGGGCGTCAAACTCATTTTGCTTCACGGGCCATATGCAGTACAATGTAATTGGAAGTCAAGTCAGCCGGACGAGTACAATCAAAACAAAACATAAATTATTAATTAAGTCTTATATTAAGAGAGATTCCTCTATGTTCCCCTATGTTTTCATGCAAAGAAGTACAAGTATATTATTATTTGTTCATGTTTAATATCAATAATAATACTTTTACAAAAAATATCCTGAACATGAAGTATTTGTGGGTTTTTTTTTTCAAAATTCAGCAAAAAACGAGTAGTGGTTGGTCATCATGTTATGACTTTAAATAGTTACTAGTCCAGCCATCGGCAAACTATGGCCCGGGGACTGGATGTGCCCCATTCAGCTTTTTAATCCGGCCCACCAAACTTTTCCAAATTGTATAATTTATTTATATTCTGATTATACTTCTGCCTTTTCCCTGCAATACCCACGTTTCCCCAATAGATGGCGTAGAAAATGACAAAAACATTTTAGCCTTTATGCATGACTTTTACATGTCATTGATCTTAATTCACATAAATTCTAGTACTAGCTTTGGTTATTTCTGTGGGATGACGTTGACTTCTCTCTGTTTTTCAGGCATCTTTTGGTCGTTTTTGGGGGTCTTCAGGGGTTGGAGGCCAGTTTGGATGTTGATCAAAACCTGAATGTGACTGATCCTAGGTTTTTATTTGATGTTTATCTTAACACATGCCCTGGTCAGGGCAGCAGGACCATTCGTACGGAGGTAAGTTGTCAGAAGTCATATTTTCAAGGTTTAGTGTATATGTACAGTCTGCTCCCTGTTGTTCTGAGATTTATTGATGTTTGATCATCCAATTTCATGCTTGTTATTGTTCGACATTGAAAAGCATCGATTCTGAGTTTGTTTTTCTTTTACAGGAAGCTATCTTGATTTCCATGTCAGGGCTGAGGCAGAAGATCACAGCTGCCTTTACAGACGTTTCTGAAGGTTCATAAATAGTAAGGAGACACGAGAACAGACTGTGACAGACGTTTGGTCATCCAATAAATATTAACATTGACATTTCCTACTTGATACCTGTCAGATTCACCTTCCTTGACTTGTGATTCTGTTTACCAAATATTCCAATATTATGTTCATTTTTATATACAAACAAATGCCCAGATTTTTTCTGACTAAAGCATACAGTGGAATTCAAACAGTACAGAACACTTCAACACAGAGGTCCGTTTAAACATATCTGTCACAATGTGTGCTGTCGTGAACATAATGGAACAAATAATCTCATTGTGGTCCAGTTGTTTCTAAAAAAAACATCGGAAAATGTGAAGTGATTGTGCTTTTTCTTCGACGTTGATGTAAAAAAAATCACAGTTTGTAAAGTGTTCAAATTTGGGATTTGAATTGCTTTTGACTTTAAATACCTGTACATAATTTGCTTCATTTTGATCAGGGATGTCCAAAGGTTTTACTCAGTGACAGATTAAAAAATGTAAAATATCTTTTGAGAACTGAAATTTAGGTTGCAGTTATAATAAACATTACAAATGCCCGTGTCATATAGACAGATAGATAGATGTACTTTATTGACCTCGGGCTGGGAAACTGCAAATAGTAGTAGTAGTAGTAGTAGTCGTAGTAGTAGTTCAGTTTTGCACCATTTTTTCCCTTAAATATTTTAGCTTTACAAAGCATTGTTGGAAGTACGCTAATAAAAACGGTTTTGACCAAACAGGTCAGTGTGCTGTCGAAGGCAAAACAAAAATACATGTCTGTAGTCAAGTGTGAATTTTGGTAAAATAATGGACAGAATGCAAAATATTCAAATCACATTTAGCAAATCAAAAAATATTTTAAAAAAATAACTTAAGTATTACAGTCTAGTTCTCTTCCTCAGGGACATAAGAAAATCAATTGTAAGGAAAGGTAGTCTATTTAAAATGTTTTATTTGAATTGACCCAGGTCTGAATCTTGCACAGGCCGGACTTAAATAAATAGCATGGAGTCTGCACTGTGTTCAAAACAACAGTCATGAACTGCCATTTTTTTTATTCAAAGTTTTTTAGTTCAATAAATAATATTTATAGAGGGGAATCTTACACCATTATATGTTTGTTTTTGTTCCTGAGTGTCTTAAATTTGTATACATTTTTTTTATAAAGACTGACTGTGCAGCTGTCTAATGTTTGCACAAGATTTAAGTTTTTAAAATCATATGTGGAGATCAAGATGCTTGTTTTCCACAACATCAAAAGGCCCCCCAGATGTTTCCTAGCTGGCACAGTTTGATGGTGTTGACAATGATCTTCAGCTTCGTTATATGTTCTTTTAATTATTAAATTATTATTATATAATTATTAAATAACTGTGATAAATCTGTTTGCTAAAGGCAGCGTTTCCTTCTGTCTTTTTTCCTGCAGTTTAATTGTTCTTTAATCGTGAAAAAAAAAAAAAAAAAAGCATACTGTATGACACCTGATACATCCATGATGCGTTTGAACTAGGGATGTTCAATATTAACTTTTTTGCCAATATGTCGATATTGTCCAAAAACGTAATTTCCGATTCCAATATCAACTCATACCGAATTAGTTCTGGTAATATTTATTTATTTATCTGTGCAAACCACTGTATGAGTATGCGATTAATTAAATGAGCTGCAATGCTGCCATCTAGTGATTTTCACTTTAATATACTGCTGTTTGTCCCCAAACCTATTTTTAGGGCACACATCATTTGGGGAATCCCAGGCGTTGTGTTCTTGGGTAATCATTATCGGAGGAAAAACCGATAATGATTCTTATAGATATGATATGATTATAGATATGATATGATAGATATGATTCTTAATGATTCTCATAGTTCTCAAGATGGCGCTGCACGAGATTAATACACCAAACGCTGCTGAGGTTTAAGTTATGAGGCAACATTTAGATGTTTACATTCTACTTGGCTCATAAAAGACACTTTAGAAAACAAAATACTTAAATAGAGGTGTTAAAAACCTGAGGTGTCCTGGCGACAGCTCAGAGTGCTTGACTTTGTTCTGGAAATGATTTTGTTTCGATCCAGCGACTGTGCTGTTCACAGTGTACGGACTACGGACATCTGCTGAATATCACTGTCTGTGTAGTAGTAATACTATGTGAAAATGGACAAACCAGGCCTGTGTATTACTGCATATTCTATGGTCCATTTATTCACATATACTGCATCTGTTATATGAATACTTGTTGGTAAAGCTTCTTTCAATATGGGAAGCAGTGCATTTCTTTAATACTTAACAAAAATATAACTGGTTTAAAAAAACACTTTTAAGTAGATTTGTTTCCATTTTCACAATAATAGAGATAGAATGAAGAGTTCTCTCTGAGGTGACTTCCTGCCGTGGGAGATGGATCGTCTCGGTCGCTCGTTCCTGCTAATGTTTTTTCCATCACAGAAGCTGCCACTTAATCACCGCGTGTCTATTTTAAGAATCCAGTAGGAAGATGTTAAAAATATCCCAGCAGTGTTTCACCAGGAGGGATGAGTGAAGGTGATGTTGTACAGCTTTGCCCATCGTCCAAACACCTGCTTCTCTGTGATGAAGCGATGGTAGTTTCCCCTGCGGCCACTCTCACTCTGCAGGTATGTTAAACATTCGTCAGGCCCCCGGGGTTTGTAGTAATGATACGGCATCTTCTTGGAGACGTGTTTTTTCCTGGAACGAAGATCAGATTTTGTTGAAGTTTTCAGATTTCATTTGAAATGTTACACAGTGCATCTCTGCACAGGCTGTGAACGCTGCCACAACACAGATTGTACTGACCCACAGTGGCTCGGTGGAACCATCCCATACACTTTGATGCTGTCACACGTCTCAATGGCTATGACCATGGTGAACCAGCCTGTGCTGAGCCACGAGTGGGATTTTTGTCTGCAAACAACACAACCGATTATTGGAGTATTTGCTGGACTATAATTCATATTTTTTTTCATCTTTGGCTGGGTTTGTGACTTATACTCAGGTGTGACTTATATATTAATATATAATTTAACATGTTTGTTTTTCCCACTGACAGCCGCTAGAGGGCACTGTAGCTGGCTGGTGTGACCTATACTCCAGAGCGACTTATAGTTTGGAAAATACAGTCCTTAGACAACGGTGTAAATCAGTGCTTTGTCAAAATATTTGTAGTGGGACGGGGGCAGGTGGGGCTTGGGAATCCTCCCGTTTGATTTGATCTTGACTTTTACTCTGTATTGGTTTATTTGTGTCTACAAACTTGATATAGTATAGTATAGTAAAATATTCTTAAGTGGCTTAAACCTGTTAAGGTTGTTTTTCTGCTGACTCTTTTTTGTACTCATTTATAATTGTATACATGATACATTCTATACATTTATAAAAGTAACCCTAACCTTAAATGTAATATCCATACAAATGACTCACCTGTCTCTCCCCGTCTCCCGGTGAAAGAGAGTGTCAAATCTGTGCATTTTGGTTTGGTTGATGGTATAAAAAGACATGTTACTGTAGGTGGCGCTGACTCTCTGAATCAGTCTGTACAGTGGTCCTTTGGCTTCTTTGCCAATCTTGTTGGGCGGTCCCCAGAATATCATCACCGAGTTCTTGTCTGTGGAATTTAGAAAGTCACTAGGCCTACGCACAACCCTGAACACGCTGGAGTGGGCCACAACCCTCAGGGTGGTCCTGGTGCCCACATCCACCTCATACCCCGATGTGGGGGCGTCGTTCATGCGGATCACACACTCTGTGTGGTCGATCTCTTCACCCGCTCCACTCCCAAGGACGTGGCTGGAACTTGTAACAAGTGCACACTTGTGGCAGTGCAGTTTCATGCTCTGTGAAGACAAAAAAAAAAAGGGGGGTGGTTCATCCTTTGGAAGAGTTTGCGGCTTATACTCAGGTTTTCAATGAAAAAAGTGAAAAAACATAAAAATCACAGATTATAGAAAATCTCGTCTTCCCCTCAATGTGATAAAAACCAAACGTGTCCTTCTATTAATCTGATTAAACATATATATATATATATAAATTAACCCAATTACCATATTGCCCGGGGGAGGGGGGGTTCATCCTTTGGCAGAGTTTGCGGCTTATACTCAGGTGCGACTTATATATAATTTCACCTATTTGTTATTTTCACACTGACAGCCGCTAGAGGGCACTCTATTATCTAGTTGTACTATTATTGGTTTTACTTTACTGCATGGCGTCACATTAAAGTGAACATTGGTTTATTGTCCTTGTGACACAGCTGTGACCACCTTAGTGAGCACAGGGCAGCACGGTGCCACAGTGGCACCTGGTGGCTGGAGGATTTGAATCGAAAGCTGCGACCTTCACAACCACCAGGCCACTGCTGCCCCGTGTCATTATCATGTAATCACAGACCAAGAATAGATTGGAAATCTCGAGGCTCGAGAACAAGGGTTTTGTTTCCTGATTTACATATGAATGTGAAATAAAGGAACCGACACCACAGAGACAGGGAAACCACGTCCTGTCATGTGACACTTATTGCACCGTGAGCTGCCGATTTTCCAACCCAAAATGGAACCTTCCGTTGGCTTCTCTGTCTGATTTTGTTTTACAAAAGATCATACTTGAAGGGGAAGATAATGTTCTAAGAAGTAGTGAAAAAAAATCTTTATCAGTGAAAATAATGACTTCTTTGTAGAATTCTGGGCATGTCTTTAAAACCAGGTCAAATGCTGGTTTGTGGCCTCGTCTCAAGACCGAGATCGAGTTCCTTTCAAATGTTCTCATCTAGATTGAAAGCTGACACACAAGTGTTATTCATTTAGAGTTTGGTTAAATATTCGATGTTTGTCTGATTTGAACATTACTTATTATTAATTAAAGAACCTGATCATTTCAAATGTAACAACACCTGAGATAAGCCAAACACCTGAGATATACGTCTTGTAGTGTTCTATAACACTATAAGACGTATATCTCAACATCAAATCTGAGATGTTTTAAATAATAACATCTATCTTAGAACTTTTTGACTGGTCCTAGTATTACTCACTTGGTCCGCTCTCAAAAGGAAAACTTTCTACCCAGTAACCAGTGAAATCTTTCAAGTCCAGTAACATTTCTCTCTCTCTGCGGCCAGTGAATTCAGTACGTACCTTGTTCCGATGAAGTGGCATGTACCCCTCTTTCCCAGCCCACTTTTTTAAATCTGTGTTTATTAGAAACCGGTTCACAGCCACATGGATGGGAATATAGGCCTCACTGCTGCTGTTGTTGGAGCCATACAGGAAGAGCAGGGTCATCAGGATGAAGATGACCACAAAGACTACCATCCTGTGACTCTGCTGTACCTGCAAAACACACACAAAAAAAGTGGGTGAATGTCACTGAGCCGAATAAGGACCGCTAGAACAACATAGTCAAGAACCAACAGTACTGTCGTTTCCCTGTAACCTGGTTTACTGGTTTGGACCGGAGCAGGTTGTGGTTATGTCAACATGGATAGATGTGCTGTGTGGCTATCGGGTAACTGGCCAAATAGTCAATTGCGTTAGTTGAATGAAATGGGACACTAGGTGGGAAAAAGTGTAGAGTTCGTGCCTTAAAACACAGGTGTCAAACACAGGACCGTGGGCCAAATCCGTTTGACCCACAAGATCATATCAAATGTGTATTAGAGCTGTGTTTTATTTCAAATTTTGTAATGTTAAGCTTTCTTTGTTCTAGAGTCAATATTTACGCAAAACTTAAGTTTGTTTCCATATGAAAAAAAGTCTACATTACAGATCTGAAGAGAAGAGAAAACTATTGCAGTCAATTTTTCAATAAATATTGTTTGAAGTTTGGCCCGAGACCTCGTCTCAGTTGTCAATTTTGGCCCAGTGTGAATTTGAGTTTGACACCCCTGCCTTAAAACATGACGTACTGTTAACTCTGAACTGATCACAGGTCAGAGCAGGACTGTTGAGTGTCAATGGTCATTTCTATATCTGACCCAGTGGTCGACAGAAGGCTTTACTGATAACTGACATTTAGCTCCCCCACACCCACCCCCGCCNCACTTTCCTTCCAGTGATGCCTGGCCATGAAGGTAATGAAGATAAGGTCGACCAGAGCCACACCCTCCCATGGTCTCCCGTCTTACCTTGCCATTGAGCCTGAGCCCCATTCTTTTTGATGAAGCTGCTGGTGACAGTCTGTCATCATACCTGTCAGAGAGACAGAGACACAAACAGGATGATGTTGCTGCTGCTGCTTATACTGCTGCGACTGACACTGCTCTGTGGTCACACCGCTGTGTCACTGCGTCTGAATTTCAGCAGCACACCAGACATTTTAAGAAACGTTTACTGCAATCTACATGGCGATAAACCATAGCGATACCGCGATATTTTGATTTCGAGTCTGGCTGCATTCCGTTTCTCACATGAAAATGCGAAGGTAAAGAAGAAGATGCAAAACAACACGCAGTAAAAAGCAGTCTGGGCTTCACGTACCTTTACAGACAAATCATAACAACGATATCCTGTTGATTGGATTGCGGTTTTCTACGTGACTCGACGTTTAATTGTAATTCGCTATAATCTTGTGCATCAACGTCTCTGCGGTGCCATGCTCCCTCTCTCTTTTGCTCCCTCTCTCTCTGACGTCATCCCCGCCCTCACCACTGCAGCGTACCAAAACAAAATTATTTCTTATTTGCACGATTGTTTTGTAAAATGCGAAAAAAAAAACCCCATGGCGATTTAACGAACAACAAACGATCCTAAAACATAATAAACCAAAGATATCGTAAAAAATACATGTTTGTTTCCCTATACCTTTAATAATTTAATTTAAAATATATTGTAGGTTTAGTTTTGCATACATTTATGACTGTCTATGACTGTATACATATATGTATATACATATGAATATGAATGTGTGTATATATATATATACTGTATATCTATATATAGATATTGATATTTACAGGACAGTTGACCTTCTGTATGTTAATGTTGAAGAAGCATACAGAGTCACCTATATATATATATTTATTATATATTTGAACTATTTCTATGCTACTCACATAATACCCTTATATTTATATTAGTTCTGCTTATATATACACATATGCATACCATAGAGATAATGAAGTATACTTAGTATACATATACATACATATATGTATGTGTATATATATTTACATATATATACATCATAATTTAATTTAGAATAACAATGGTATCATAATGTCATAATATCATATAAAATGATAGTATTATAATAATATCTATCTATCATATATAATCATATAAAATGATAGTGTTATAATAATATCTATCTATCATATATATACACACATATACAAACACAGTGTATGTTTATGTATTTGTATACATTAAAAATACACACAGATTAAGATTTTTCCAGATCATTTAAATTTATTAACCATGGTCACACTGAGGATCAAACTATTCAAGTTTGCAACCAACACAGTGAAATACAGTAACACAGTAGTATGGAAGAAGTGCAAAAACTTGTACAGTCTTTGGGATTAGTCACCAAATAATCATCACTCTAACTAAACAAAGGCAGCATCATAGTAAACGGCTACGCAAGTTCTAGTTTCCAGATAAAGGTGCAAACTTCTTGCTGAAGGTCTTAATGGACGAACCACCGACGTCTCTAGTGACATTAAGTTTTGCTGGAATAATTCCAGAAAATAGTTAAAATAAAAAAAAAAAGAAAACGATAATGATGCAAACTGATGTTTCATGTAACAAAACTAAAACTGCACGTTGTGTGCCTTCAGTTACTACGGCACACTGTTGTCAATACTGATGGAAGTCAGGGAGACGAGCAAAATCAACACTGTAGGGTAGACGAGTAAAGACCTCAAGAAGACATGAATCACCACCAAAAAGTGTGAAAGTAATTGACTATTCTAACATCTGATACATTTTTATTTCACTGCTTAATACAAAGTAATCCATCGTTCAGCCTACAGGGGGCTAACGCTCCCAGTTGGTGGAAAAGATTAATTGTTATAATCTTCAATAGAATTCAAACCATATTCTTATAATCCCTCCATTTTACAGGGAAACTGTGCGTTTTGTAGCTTTAATTATGAATGATCAAAATCCAGATGAAAATGAGACTGAAAGTCAAGGCACATGTGCAAAAAAAATTAAAAAGAATAATTTGAGAGGATATCTATACAGTTGAATTTTTAAAACTTGTTCCATTGTTTGTAATGTAAAGCAGCAAATACTGTACTTCGTATGTACGTAATTATACACGACAGAAACATTCAGCAGGTCTGAACTAAGTACTTATCGTACTTACACTATGTAAAACAAATCTACAGTCAATCAGTAGCATTTTGATAAAAATTGTCGTGGCAGTTTGAAACATTCAGCGGACAACCACAGCAGTGTGAAGATTGAGGAATACGTCGTCAGAGGTCCCATGATGGATGGCTGAAATCAATGTTATGGCGGGAGGCCCATTTGGCATAGATGGCCTTCTCAGTGATGAAGCGATGGCCTCCACGACGGGCGTTTTCGTGGACTTTATACATCCTGCACTCGTTGACTTTGTTCTGTTCATAGTAGTGGTAGGGGACGACACTGTGATTGATTCGACTGTTATGAAGAGGAAAGAAGAGCCAAACAAAATAGATTTTTAGAATTGTATAGTAGAAAAATAGGGCAAATCCACAACATACTGTATGTTTAAGCCTCACTTGCAGTAGTTGTTATCGATCATCCCGTAGACGTGGATTCGATCGCACGCTTCTATTGCCAGGATCATTGCAAAAAATCCTGTGCTGAGAAACGCCCCGGTCTTCATTCTGAGTGAGAGACAAAAAACAACAGTCTGTTTAAACACACCTTAAACTAATGCTAAGCAGTGTTAACAGTAACCTTTTCCACTGATTGACTCATTGGCTTTCGATTCCCAAATACCAGGCAACATCGCAACCAAGTGGTTTAAGAAGTGAACTGCAGCATGTGAAATTTACACTAAAACAGCCTTGACTGGAGTACAAAAGTCGTCCCTCGCTGTATCGCGGTTCGGCTGTCGCGCCATCAAAAAAATCGCGGATTTTAAATATTCTAAATGTATTCTTGTATTGCGACTTTCGCTCTATCGCGGGTTTTTGTGGTACATATATATTTTTTAAATTCCAATATTTTCATTATTTGTGTGATAAAATAAGCATTTTCTAGCACAAAAACAGTACAAATACATACAGGGTATTCCAAGAAAGAACCTACGTACGGGTAAAGTTTTCGTTACGTTTTTTCTTTTTTGTGTGCCATATTTCACGCCGCACGATGCCTCCTAAAGGGTGCGTAAAGGGTTAATATATACGTAAATAATATAATATCTATCACGTCTCTACTTCGCGGTTTTTCGCCTATCGCGGGCGGTCTGGGAAGGCAACTCCCGCGATAGCCGAGGGACCACTGTACATTACTTCAGTTGAGCTCTTACCCATGACCGTCAAAGCATCACTCCTGTTGCTCTTTTTCATGGAGCAGTAACACTCTTTATCAACAAGAATTGTTATATTGTTGGGACGTGCAGTCAAACTGTACCTGTTTTTCCCCGTTTCATTCTGAAACACTCGGTCACAGGAGTGAATCTTCTCCCTGGTCACAATGTAGATTCCCACGTTTGGATACTTCCTAGCTATTCTCACAAGAGTATTGTAGATGGGTCCCTTTCCATCCTGCCTCATGTTTCTGTCAGGACCCCAGATCACGTACGCAGTGTTTGCTGACTGTTGGAAGTAGTAATGTTCATTTTTCACCAGCAGGGGGACGCTGGTATGAGACACTACTCTAATGCTGGTGCGGCTTCCAACGTCCTTCTCGTACCCTTGTGTGGGCGCGTTGTTCATCCTTATTACACAGTTGATCTTGTCAATCTGTTCACCAGCAGCAGAGCCGAGCATCTGACCCGAGCTGGAGACCAAGGCACACTGGTTGCAGTGCAAGTTCAAAAACTGTGACAGAAGAAAAGTGGACCAATGGTGAATACTAAATAATAACTTCAAATCAAACTTCCCAACAATCCATATGTACTTATTGTACATAGGTCATGATATAACTCTGAAATAGCATAGCAAAAACATGTTTAACGACTCAAGGGTAGTAACCAAATAAGGGATGTAGTAAAAATCAATGTTTAACGACGATGTTTAACCAAATAAGGGATGTAGTAAAAATCCTGATTCCTGTTGCTCTGTTTCTCACCTGCTCCATCCTGTGAGGGCCAAGTCTCATGTAGCCTCTGAGTTCACTGCTCCGAAAAACAGGAAGTGGACGATCCCGTGTGATCACACGTCCAATCCAGAACAGGACAGGAAGGCTGATAGTGAGCAGGCAGAGCCAGCGCTGCATCTGTGAACACATCCAGACATGCACTCGTCTACCTCTCCGTTTTCTTCTACTGTGTCCATTCATTTTCACAACACACCTTAAACTCTCACGACATGCATTCGGTGTATGAGCAATAGTTAACTATTTCCTAAAATAACAAAAAAACAAAACAAAACAGTGCTGCCAACAGGGGTTGTTCGTCCTTGCTTGTTTCCTGCTGTTCCTGAGTGTGTGTTTATTTGCAGCTGTGGCTGATGGAATGATGACGTTTGTGGGGAACTTTAACAACGAGAAGCCTGTTGATCTGTATTGTTCCCTCAGTGATCATCCCACATTAGGGGCTGGACCCTGCCAGCTGCTGGGCCACTAGCCTAAAGCTCCCCCTCTACTCTTTCTGTCGCTTTCCCTGAGACCTGCTCATGATGCAAAGAGTTCTTAAGAAGACCACATTTTTCTGTAATCAGAAACTTTTCATGATAGAAAGTTTTGAGAATATAGTTTTTACTGTTGTGTTTAATTGTTTTACTGGATTTCATTCTTATCATTTTAATCTGTCCTTATTCTTTACAATAAAGTATCTTTGGGTGTCATGAAAGGGCTAAATCGTGTGAACTTATATCTACGGGACAATTGCAATTCTAAAGATGTGTTATTCATAGTGTAAAAATTGAAAATGTTGACAGTTTACATTTATATTGAACAATCCACTCGCAGTCATTACTCATGTGTAGTACCTGAGTACTCATACTCCATCTATAGATCCCTCTTTAAAGGAGAAGGATGAAGCTATATATGGTGTTTACAACCATGTTTTTAACGTCAGACCTTGTATTTTTCATTGAAAGTAGAGGAGTGACTGAGTTGTTAAGGACCCCTGTCCTAAAGCACACAGTTCACTGGTTCATCTGTTGGTCTTCTCGTATGGAGTTAGGATGTTCTTCCCGTTTTTATGTGGGTTTTCTCCAGGTTCTCTGGTTTCCAAAAACATGCAGGATTATGACAAGTGTCAATGACTGTTTGCCTCTATCAATGGAATAAGCATTGAATGAATGGATGAATGAAAATATTTTTTCTCTCTGTTCTGCATTAATTCACATCGGGATCTTAAATAATGACTTGATAATTACAGTGTATTAATATTGATAGGTTGGTTTATGAAGGTCGTCAGAACCTTTAGAAGGCCAGAAAACCTCAACCTTCTGAGGTTTGGGGAACTCTGATTTAACATTAAGTATATTTGTATGAAAGGAATTCTTACCTGGTATTTCATGTCCTTTTGGGAAGGTTCTTATCCTCGGGGCGATTTCTGATACTCATTTTATAAGCAGGAGAGTAGAATTCCCCGTTGAAAGAAAAAAGCCGAGGGATGTGTATTCATCACTTACAAGATGCATACTAGGTGTTTCTCATTTTGTCGTCTCCTCAGTTCCGTTATGTGTTCTTCAATTCAGGATCCTAGCAGACTGAGAGGTCAATTACCCATGTGTGCATTTCCACAACATATAGAGTCCGAACTTTAATTCCAGATCTAACACAAAATCAAACTAAACTAAGGACCGAGTGAAATATATTCAGACGTCTGTAACTATAATCTCCACTCCCCGCCCTAATGTTTTTACTCCGACTTCCTCTGTCGTAAGATCACTTTCCGTGCGATTTTCACAATAAATGTCCCATGGTTTCTATGTTTGCTGTACAATACACTGTTTCCCTCATTACATTTTAGACACTCGCTCTATTTTCAAGGGCATATAAAGCATCGCTATAACACAGATTTATTTAGCCAGTAACGTATATTTCCTGACTCAAAGTGAGAGAACATGTTTAGGTTGTATTAACCTTTCTTTTCGTTTGCACCGTTTATTAAAAATAGGTTCCTCCACAATGTTAGCCCTGTCTTTTAAAAAGGATGTTGACGAACTTGACTGCAGTCGTTTTAGTTACTGTTTTTTGTAGTCTAGTTGTAAAATAATTCAAAAATAAGATACAATATTTTAAAACCTGATCGGTGTTTTATCCCATAAAAACAATATTTTTATTTATTTATTTTCTATGAACATTTGTTTTGTTTGAACGTTTACATAACTTTATTCCACTGAAACATTTATTATATATAATGTACAAAAAATACAATTTTTACTTTCATTTTATTAATTCGCTTTCGAGTTTGACAACTTTTACCTCTTCGGTGTCGGTAGGGGGAGAACCACTGCTTTGTGATCGAGGACCCAATTGGCTCCTCAAAGCGTTTAGCCCGCCTTCCGTTATGCGATTGGTTAAAAACTATTTTGACCCCTCCGAGTCTCGTCTCTAATTGGTCTTCAGTTTTGATGATTTTTGCTACGTTTCCGAAGCCCCGCCTATGAGGGAAAATTTCAGTGTATGGCGTTTACCCACAGTGGAACGTCCTTCCCAAGTGGTCTTGGGTGTTCGCTGACGGTATGTCCCAGTGTGAGTGAGTGTTGTGTGGATGTCGAGCAGCACACACGGCAGCTTTAGCCTCTGGGTGACAGTTTAAAGCTGCGCAGCTCCCCGGCGTTCGCTTGACCCGGTGATGCTGTGACAGATCGATCTGCGTTATGCTAGCAGAGTGTGGCTGCTCAGGTTAACATGTCCGCCTGTCAGAGCAGTTTTTCTCTTTGCTGCTTCTTATTTTATTAGTCTTTTTATTGACACCAATGCTAAAACAACTGAGCTTAGATTCATTGTGTGTTTTGGGGGCGTTAATGTACAGACAATGGCAAGGTCGATTCATCCATGGCCTGTCACTAGCCACTTGTATATTTACCTCTCGTGTAACTTAACTATTATAGGTCTTTATTTCATACTGAATTGTATCTATTAAATTAATTTATAGCTGGCTTTTTGAAGTTTTGCTTGAGGTTGGGAAGTAACAAGGCAACCGGTCTGGTTGAACTTCAGTCATGCCTTCATTTGGCATGTATACTAAGTGTGTGTGTGGACGTGCACGCGCGTGTAAAGAGGTACCTAAGTGTAGCCATGCAGCTGGAACAGTCGAAAGTGTTTCTGCTGCATCACAGCCACGGTGTGTTCGATTGGGATTTGTCAAATGTTCCAGCCATAAGATCCACTACTTACAAAAATGTATTATTGTGCTGTGTATTTGTTGTGAAATGTGCTACATATTTTTTTACATAACTTATCCGAATGCTCTTATCAATGGAGTTCCACAAAACAGTGTTCCCTGTGAGCCAACAATGCATCGATGGTGTTATTAGTTATTAATTAGTGTTTGTATTTCACAAACTTTTTTTCTGGACCCATTTGTTAAAAATCTCAAACCTTCACGATCCAAGTCAATAGACATTTATCGTAAACTGCTGGTAAACATGATGCGAGATGACCCCCCCCCAAAAAAATCTCTTGCCACCCACCTGAGAGTCGCAACCCAGTCTTTGGGAAACAATGGTTTAGTGTGTCAGTTCATGACAGTCTGGTTTTTGCTGTATCTATTTTAGGTTTAGTTTTATTATAGATTAAATACAAATATTGAAAATTATTTGGGTGCACACATCTAACTGTTTTTGAAATATGTTCTTTTGACTTTTTTCTTTGGCCAAAACTTGTAGTAAAAAAAGAAAATCTGTTACTCTTCAACGTACTGAAGTATATAGACTGATTAAAACCCCAAATAAAATGTCTTAACATACTATGTTGTGTAGTCAAGAAGCTAAAATCTTTGACTGTTTTCATGGAGCTCCTGCAGCCAGCACTGACTCTCTGTCAGTACTTCATAAAGTCCCACCTAATTTCCAAAGAAGAGTTTTTGTTCTCTAGTGTTAATCATAACATTTTATGTCCTGTTTATTACAGCGGCATAAACCTGCAGGTAGGCAGTGCCCGCACAGGTGCAGAGGAAACACTCAGGAGTGAATGACAACCACTGGTTCACTGTTGAGCCCTCGACTGGCTGATCTCAGAGCAGACAGGAAATCTGCGAGGGAACTGTGCGAGAAGTTTGACGACTGAAGACTTGAAGTCATTTCCATATCGAGATGTCAGTCAAACGAGCAGACGGCGTGTCCATCGCCCAGGCGTTGGCCATGACCGTGGCAGAGATACCTGTGTTTCTCTATTCCACATTTGGGCAGGTATATCACTTTGTATCTACAGTTATGTTTTGCATCTTTAATTTTGATGTACATCTAAGAGAGACTTGGGAGATGTGGCTGAGAGTTTCTTTTTTTTTTTAGTCCATATTTTCCCAGCTAAAACTTACCCCAAACTTGAAGAAAGTGCTCTTCGCCACAGCGCTGGGCAGCGTCGCTCTGGCGCTAACTGCTCATCAGCTGAAAAGACGGGGGAGGAAGAGGAAGCAGGCGACGCAACTGAAGGAAGGCCAGAAGACAGTGGGGATGCCTGAGGCACTGATAAGAACAGGAAGACCCACTTCATTAAAGAGAGGTGTGAACCCCCCTCCACCCCTCACCACCACTCTCTGACTGGGTTGTGTTTTACAGCATCTCCTTACATTTCTGCCTACAACAAAACCCTTTTCTTTCTCTACACAGGTCCCATTTCTGGTCGACAGATGATGAGTCCCAGCACCAGGAGCAATGACACCATGAGTGGAATTTCCTCCCTGGCTCCCAGTAAACATTCGAGTTCCTCTCACAGCCTGGCATCAGTTAGTTCCACCCGTCATTTTCTTATCTTTGCATGCCTGCTGTTTTGGATATTTTAATAGTTGTATTTCTTATCTATCCATTGTGTTTGTGGTACAGATGCGGGTGCCAAGCTCCCCGAATCAGTCCGGTAATCCATCAACTCCCTGGGAAACAGAGCCTGTGGTGGAGGAGTCTGTGGCGCTGGAGGACGCTAACGCAGACAATCTTTATTTAATGGGTTGGTATTTACAAAAGGAAGGGTGTCGTTCGTTTTGGTGGCAATGAGAAACATGTTAATATTAATAAACAACTGAAGCATGTTGAGTCTCTCAGGAGCCTCTCCCAAATTTGAGAAGTTTTGATCATTATATTTTTGTCAGGCTTTGAGCTGAGGATGGAGAGTTTTATTCAAGCAGTTTCTCAACCCAGTAAAGTGAACAATTTTGAAACGAGAGCGGAGATCACATACATACCAAGCTGCTTGTGATTTTTCTCTTGTCCCAAGACTGCAAAAACAACTGAGCAAAACATTTTTATTTTCAGGGATGGAGCTTTTTGAGGAAGCCCTGCGAAAGTGGGAACAAGCTCTAAATATTCGCCATCACAGCTCCTCAACTTCAAGCAACCACAGCTTTGCTCTGGAGGGGGCCGCGGGTGGAGACATGTCCATGGTAACTCCATATCAGTACTGGTGATACTTCATGAAGCAAATGTCTGCTCTTTCAGGGATGTTGATTAATTCCATTGAGTTTCTAGATGTAATGCTGTAGTTAACCTCCCTTAGCATTGTCCTGATTAGCCAGTAGTGCTGTCGTGTTTTATTTATTATTTTTTTACTAAGGCTGTTAGAAAATAGTTACGACAAAAGTTCTACCATATTTACCAAAAAAAGCATTTGGAGGATGAAGTTGTAAATTGAAATCTGGAAATTCCATGGAGGCTGACTCTAGCTTTTTTATTAAATTATACAGTCTTCAGGACCCATTGGTAGTTTTCATTCCTAATTTTCAGATTGAAACCCGTAATAAAGTGTTTGCTGAGAAGCTGGAGACACTGCTCCACCGAGCGTACCACCTACAGGAAGACTTTGGCAGCACTATTCCAACAGACAGCGTGCTCGAAGACTTTGGTGAGCCTCGTGTTGAACTTACTATAGAAATAAAAGATAATAATTTTTGTGCAAGGTTAAAATAAATTAAATACAATCACTGTACTGTTTTCCCTAAATCTTTTCTTTAATTTGACGTATCTGGTTTCACAATATTTTTCGTTTGTTCCAGAGAGTGAAAGAACTCTTATTTTGCCTAAAATGGAGAGCTTTCAAAGACTTCAGGATGATGACGCGGCCACTGTGACCTCTGAAGACTCCTTCTTCACGGCTGTGTCTGTGAGTTTGTCTTGTCTCTGCTGTCTAGGGACTGACACCATTGAAGACATCTGTGACCAATCAGGAGCCACCATTGTCTGCTAACATTTAGCTTCTGTGTTCTGTGCAGATGGTAGAGTCCATGACTCTAGAAGAGGTCTACCATCCACTCAACCATGCGGCTCTTTATGAAGAAGCCTTGTCTTTGGCGCGGGAGAGCAGAGTACCCTGTAGGTCCCTGAGGTAACTGTGAATTCTAAATACTTCACCCAGAAGTAAATGCTTTTTATAAACAGTGTATAATCGCTGTGTATTAGGTCATATTAAATATTCAAAGTGATGTATGCAAAGAGTTGCTTCTCAACCTGAGGCCTGGCTGGGCTTTAACCATGTTTTATCTCTCTCGTTTAGTTAAACAGACTGTAATTTGCTGCCAGTTTTATTTTTTTTAATTAATTTAATTAAAACATTTTAATTCAAAATTAATTGTAATACATGTTTTCACAATTTTTAATTTAAAATTAATTGTAATACATGTTTTCACACGTTTCTGTTCTCTCCAGGACTGATTTACTTGAATGTTATGACGATCATGATTTCCTTGCTAAACTTCACTGCATAAGACAAGCATTCCAGGTCTGTTTCTACACAAATTGTTATTTTTTTATACTTGTTTAATAGTAAATTTACCTAGAGAAAATTCAAAATGTGATAATTGGATCGTTACAATGTGTTTTTATTTTAGCTTTACCATTCTACAATTTTCAGTCATAAAAAGACCACGGCTACAAAAGTTGACCCCCTAATAAAATACGGCTTATAGTTAGTATAAGTCAGCTAGTGTGCCCTCTAGCGGCTGTCAGTGTGAAAATAACAAACATGTAAAATGATATATTTTAATATAGTCACACCTGAGTATAAGTTGTTAACTCAGCCAAAGGATTAAAACAAAGTGCAACCTATAGTCTGGAAAATACAGTACTCAGCATGATACATGAGTTTAGTTATTTGTTTATGACAGTAAATGTCCACTGTTAACGCTAAAAAAAAATTATTTGTGAATTGTGCTGATGATGATGATGATGTGTTTTTACTCTCAGGTTCTGTTGTTAGATGCAACTCATCGCACATTTTTCATGGAGACTGGGAAGCAAATGATCACAGGCCTAATGGTGAAGGCAAACAAGGTAGAAAAAATACTTTAAGTATTTGCTTCCTCAGGTATCTCAGATTAGGTTGTGCGTTCTTTTTTAATGTTTTTCTTCACATTCGTCAGAGTCCCAAAGCCTTCTTGGAGAGCTACGAGGACATGCTGCTCTACACTCAGAGGGAGGAAACGTGGCCCGTCACCAAGATGGAGCTGGAGGGCCGCGGGGTGTGTGTTTTTGTACACTTTTTGTATCATGTATACTTTTCTAATGTGCCCGTGTGTAGTGCATGTATTAAACAGAATGTACTCTTTGTTTCCTGATGTCTGCAGGTGGTGTGTATGAACTTTTTCGACATCGTGTTGGACTTCATCCTGATGGACGCCTTTGAGGACCTGGAGAGCCCTCCGTCCTCTGTGGTTGCTGTGCTGAGAAACCGCTGGCTCTCTGACAGCTTCAAAGAGACGGTAACTGAAACAAACACATAAACACATGTGATACTCTTAATGTTAATATGATTCATGTGGAGCGGTGACAGAGCTGAGCTTTTCTTTTCTTCCAGGCCCTGGCAACAGCCTGCTGGTCTGTTCTCAAAGCCAAAAGGCGTTTGCTGATGGTGAGTTTGAAGTGAACGGATCTCAGAGTGGACTTGAATTTCAGAACAGAACTGCAGTACACTGTGTGTACATTCTTTATCTCCTTATTTTTCAGGTGCCTGATGGTTTCATATCACACTTCTATGTCATATCGGAACACGTGAGCCCAGTTTTAGCTTTTGGGTTTTTGGGCCCCAGACAACACCTAAGTGAAGTGTGCGCAATCTTCAAGGTGAGAGAAGAATCCACCTGGTTTTACAGTATCTGTCACAGAGTATTGGGTATCTGGATCAGCCTGTTTTTGAGTATGAGTATTTGACATATTGAATTCCTAGTTAAAGCACATATTCATTTTTGTAGCCCGGTTTAATTGTACTTGTCTACTGTTGAGCAGCAGCAGCTCAAAATATATTTTAAAAGTATGTAGAATATATACACCAACTGGTGTAGCCACTGTGAATGTTAGTTTGGATGGACTTTGGCTGGAATGTGCCTGATGCGTGTGGAATCCCCCGGCCCCCATGGCATAATCAATGATTATCAGGCTGTGAAAACTAGCTGCAATACCCATTTTGTACATGGGGAGGAGCAGTGATTATGTTCTGCTCTTTGTTTCCATCAGTCTACACCACTGAACATTCTTTGAATTAAATACTGTAGGAGCGATAAAATTCATGTAGTCTCGTCACAGTGCAAGATACTTCACAATACACCAAGACGCAGTTCTCCTTCAGATAAAATATTAATATAACATTTTCTCCTTTTCTCTGCAGCAACAAATTGTCCAGTACCTGAAGGATATGTTTGACAATGACAAAGTCCGCTTCACCTCTGCTCAGAGCTTGGCTGAGGACATCCTTAACCTCTCCCACCGCCGGAGTGAAATTTTACTGGGGTATCTGGGCATTGACAGCCTTCTGCAGCTCAATGGTTCTGCACCCACAGACACGGAGGGTTTGGCAGCATCCCACATAAACAATTAGTTTTTTTAAGGCCTTCGGGGGGTGCTGCAGAGCAGATACAGTGAGCTGGGGATGTGCAGCTCAACACCTATTTTTTCCCAAGTCTGGTTTGAATTGTGTTTCCATTATACATCCAGAGACGGAGATCGTTCAATCCTTTATGACCGTCTAACACTGGGGCCTCGAACTCCCAGCCCACAAACCCACCCACATCCCACATCCCCCCTGTTCTCAGCCGCTGTGTTGCCCTCTGTTGTCATTAGCCTCATATGAGACATACGAAGACTTGTCTCTGCCTTCATGAACAGCAAGGAAACAAACATACGAGATTCAGAACCCTTCTACACACGATGACCGGGCCTTCTACACCATCACTCCACATGGGGGCAGTGTCTTACACATGAGGAGTGGTTGCATTGTGACCATCCCAGAGCCTGACTGCTAAAATCAGTTGTTTTTTCTTAGTCTTCATGATTATGCAGTTATTAAGCATTGATGCCAGTCTGTTAATACTTTATAAAAAAGGGAGAAAAATATTTATTAATTACAGTATGTATCATTCAATATTGCCAACTTTATGAGACCATAAATTTATGCTGCTTCCTGAAAAATATAATGAATTTGTCTTTCCACTGACCCGAGTATTGATTCCAGATTAATATGATGGACTCATTAAGTGTAAAAAAAAGTATCGTACAGTGAAATCCTATTCCACACCGGTTCTTTTACAAACTTAGAGACAAAGAGTAACAAAAGACTTTTTCTTGTGTGAAATTCAAATGACAAGAAAGTCTTTTAAATACATTACAGTCACATAGAACAAATTCAATTTTGAAAAAACAAACAATTAATTAGGCATATTTGTCAATTTCAAGTGGAAATCCAGTTAAGTGTAACATTTTACAGCAGTTCACTTTAAGTTTGGTAGTTTTGCATTGTACTTTACGCTACAAAATACAATTGTATTTTTGTACAGTATACAATTGGTTCATCACAGGAAAAAGCACAAAGAAACGCTATTCAGATTGGCTGTTTTGATGCTTTTACTTCATAGCAGTTTGTGGGCGAAAATATCTTCCCATTTGTAATAGAGTACGTCTACACACCCTGTTAAGAAGAATCACTTTAAACTTGTAACTTACATATTACTCCTTGGCTGAGCCCCCAACAAACAACCACCCCTAAAATTCTTTCCTATTTCTACCCTATTGTAGTTTAAGCTAATGGTACAGTCTGTGGAATGTGGTGCTGATGTATGCTCTCCTTTTTCTCCTGCAGGGGGCTGCTACTGAAATACTTTATATTTCATATAAATCGGATCCCAACACTTTTTTTAAAAAATGTCAGGCAAATTAAACATTTAGCTTTCTGTGCTAGCATTTGTTCTCTGGATAGAACAGAGACACCAGTAACTTTAGCTTTACATTACAGTAGGATAGATCAAGATAAAACTGCATGGCTAAGCTACATTAGCGCTGAGCAGCACTGATCTGTGGATCTGTAAACCTTCCTTAAATATCCAAACTGTATTTTACAACATTAACCTGTGCATTTGACAACCAATCAACTACATTATTATCTCAAGTTACTTTTTTATTTAATTTAAAACGTGTTTTTTTTGGGGGGGGTTATTGAACTAACAATAATCAGTTATCTTTAGCTCACTGAAGAAAAGAACCCTCACTCGTTCTGTCTTTTGGTGTTTTAAAGCCGTTTTTAAAAATGGATGATTGCCCCCTTGTGGGTGGTACAGGCAGGGCAGCAGGCTCGCAGACAAAGCAGTTAGACTTGGCCATTAAAACAATTAGATGCATTACTTTAGAACTGATTATTTTGTCAAAGGGAATTCTTGCTGACTATTCCTTTAAGAATCATGTAAGGGTTGAATTTGTTGACATTAATATTTCCTACTGTTTGAAGAATGTGTTTTTGTAAAAGAGGCTGTGGCTCATTAACAAAATGAACCAGGAGATCTATGTATAATTTTTTCCATTCCATTAGGAATTGTGTTGAGAAAGTGGGCATTGTACAGTGATACAGTGAACTGTCATACCTCTGTAAGTGCACTGATGATAATCTCTGAATTGTCCGTCTTTAAAATGCCAATCTTTTTTTGTTTTGTTTTGGGTTTTTTGTCTTTTTTTTCTATTCTACTTCATTACAGTAAGTGATTTTTGACAGAGTATTATTTAAGATCCAGTCACAACACAGTAAATTACAACATGAGAAATACATTATGTATTCTTCATGGCAGTACAAGTAATGAGTAAAGAGTTTTCTGCTAGTTTTCCCCTGTATTCAATGACAGTAGTTTCAGAAAAATTAGGGAACGTTGACCATTTTAATTGATTACCTATATTATCATTTTATTTTTGTGTTGTGTGGTCTTCATATTCCAGGCATAAAGTCATAGTAATTAAAGCATTTTTTTCAGTCACTAGAAAGCAAGACATTTATGCAGAATCACCACATGTACAATCGAAAGCACGTTTTAATATCAGTCAGTCACGTAAACATACAGCGGTCAAGACAATGACAGTTGTGGTCAATATACAGTTTTGTGCTATTAAGGCAGTTTGCACTTTATCAGAAAATAAATCTCCCACACCTCTTATATTTTATAACACAGAACCAACATATAAATCATAACAAATGTGCAGTACATGGTGTATATTTAATAAATACTATATATGGAGGATTATTCTGGTTACAGGGATTTTAAACCAATGCATGTTCTTCAATTTTTATCAATCAATTTTAACAATTTAACCCAGTCTGTGTTATGTTCCGTCAAATATCAACAGCGTGTTCTGTGCATGGAAATGCAATTGTGAAAAAATGCTAATATGTCAACATTTGCCCCTTTGTTCAAAGACAAGTCTGCTTTTGCAGTGTGATGAGACTTGAACACAGAGTCATTCCTCCAGGAGCTGTGGCACGTTAACCACTGCTGATGACGTCATTTGTTTCTGTGACAGTTTTGAGCAGGTTCTATTGTAGTTTATCTGTTTTTTAGGATAAAAAACACATGCCACTTAAAATTATGAACCCTGCTGCTACATGTCATAGTCAGATGCAGGTGTCAGATGGTGAAAGTGATTTACTTTGTCAAATCACTGTACCGTAAATGTTCAATTCACGCCTTTTCTTTTTCTCTATTGTTTAATGACAATACCAGCAAACACCATCAGTCGGTTTTAATTCTCTGTATTAAATTTTTTTTTTGTCATTAAATGTCTTCTTTGCCTTTTTCCTTGCTGTTATGATGTAGTTTTTATCATTAGGAGTACACTGTGTATATATTATAAATTAAATACTAGCTGATAAGTTTTATATTTAAAGTGCTCAGAACTTCACTATAACTATCCGAACAAGACAATGCAAGAGAGCCCGGCACTTTGCACTTTACTGCCCTGCTTGTCTCTTTCTTTTTGTCTGATGATTTGTTTGTAAAGTAATTATTTTCTGCGTACATTTGTTTCTTAATGTTTGTATTTGTTCCGTGTCATACTAATGCTTGCTGCTAGAAAAACTACCCTTCTTGGGACAATAAAAGTAAAATGTAATTCAAATCAGTTTGTCTGCTGTAGGCTCATAATAACAGGCTGAGCCGACATGGCTGCCTCTGTATAGAAGACCAACACCACGTACTATACTTTCAGGTAAGCACTGTGTACATGCACTAATGTGTCAGACAGATGATCCTCAATGGTTTTGGACAAACCTTTTTAAAGTTTGTTTTCTGAAGGTAATTGTTGCTGCAGTTCATTGACATTAATATTTACTTCTGTTCTTCTTCACTGCACATTAATGTCATTCAATTCAATGAACAAACATGGCCGCCTGCATGGGAAAGACATGGCCACATCCTAGGTTATTGAAAACAGCCTGATATACAGATGCTCTGTGTACATGTATTAATATATTAGTAAAACACTCTCTGTGGTAGGACTGCATGTCCCTGAGGAACTGCATGTGGTCCAGGAGCCACAGGTTGCAGACCCCTAGTTTGAATTCTGACCTGACAACCAATATGTTTAAAATGGCCTGATTCCACATCTGAGACATGTGATATATATATATAAGCTCTTAAAATATCTTAAAATACAAAATGTAGGTTTTTTTCCACCTTCAAATACATACATTTAAATTGATACTATGAAGTTAATATGTAATAGTAGGTGGCGTTTGTGTCTCTTGACATGAATAACTCAAATGAATCCATCTTTATGATCCAAATAAATATTTGTCCAATCTTTTTTTTAAAATGATAGTGAGTGTTGAACTACAGCCTTTTTCTTCATTCAATAATTCTCCTGTACGGACAGGACGTCTCTTTCCCAGTGTGTTGCGGGATTGGACAGCTGCTCTGCTGCCGGGGCTCGTTTGAACAGGCAGCTCTTCTCGCTATTGGTCCGGTTCGTGTCTGGGGCGTTTCACAGGGACTGCCCGGCTGTGTCCGGGTAAGATGGCGTTGGAAGAGCAGTGCTCGGCACTACCTCGATGGCGGTCCATATCTCTGACACATGTAGAGTTCCCCGACGGTACGTATTCTCAACATGTTCCTGTAACCAGTGAAGCTTCCATTTCAGCAGCTGCTGTGTCGTTGTATTGCAGTGCGTTTGTTTTCGTGTTCATGAATGGACGCGGTAGTCGGCAATGCTGCCAAATTGTGAGATTCTGTCTAAACCGAACGCAGCGGGGAAACGCTGCCTGGACTGCGAAATTGTGAGACATTCGCGCATGCGTCGTATATTGCAATGCCACAATAAAGGCTAGCTATCCTGTTAGCGTCTTTAATATCGACTTTGTTATACAGGTGGAACTTAACGCACGTGTTAAGTTCTTTTAGAATTGTTGGACAAAACTAAGGCATTAAAATATGGAAATTTTGACTTGCGATTTTATATGAATCAATGCTTTATTCACATTTTTACAGAAAGGACTAGAACAAACGCATTAGCTAGCAGTTGGCTCAACACCTATTAGTAAAAGTAACACAATTATCTTATATGTGGACGTTTCCATTGACCAAAATAAAATAAATATTTGTCATTATACGTTTGTAGCGGCGTAGTTCGCCTATATGTGCTCACGTTTAAACATTTCGGCCAACAGGGTTCACTGAGTATCTGAAAATGTCACTGCCACCTGGGGACTCCAGAGTGGATTTTAAATTTAACATCACTTCTGTGCCACTGTGTTTCAGACGATCTAACGGGACAAGTGCTGGCCTACATCAGTCTCCTGCCCGTGACGATCCTTGTGGGCTTTGTCACACTTATTGTCTTTAAACGGGAGCTACACACAGTGAGTTTTCTCATATGAACATCTTATCGTTCAAGCGTTTATGTGAATCGTAGAATCTGTAGAAAAAGACTGCACATTCATATAAAGTAATTGATCAAGTATTTGTGTACTCGTGCGTCCGTGTCTGTGTACAGATTTCCTTCTTTGGTGGTCTGCTCCTGAATGAAGTTGTGAACTGGCTGTTGAAGCAGATTTTCAAAGAGCCACGCCCTTGTGCAGGTGAGGAAGGGTCCGTGCCTGGGGCTTTATGACCGCATGCAAACAGTATGTTGGAAATAGACATTGCGTCTGGCTGCGAAACTGAAATGCTCTACCGGTTTTAGAATAAACAACACAAAATAGAATCCTTAAAATAACTAAGAAACACATCTACTAGTTCAGTGTCAAACATGATTGTGGTGCCTAATTTTGAGTCTTTTTTTACTTGGATGGAAAGTTTTATTTGGTAAATTTTAATTATATTTGTACTAGCTATGACGTGCAATGGATTTTTCAAAGAAAAAAAAAGACTTTGAAATGTGCTGAGATGTGTAATTGTGAGAAATAAGTAGTAGCCTGTGGCCTAGTGGTTAGAAGACCGGTCTGGTGTTAACCACTGGGGTGGTTAAATGCAGAATGTAATTTTCCTTATGGCATTAATAGAGTACTTAAATAAATGACATACTGTGTCAACATCTGTCTACTCACTTACTGTGTCTGTCAACTTTCTGTATAATAATAACAACGTTTTTTAAACAACTGGACATGAATCGTGGTTTTGACAAGACAGACGTGCTGTGCTGTAAACAAGTGGGTCGTGTTTGGGGCAGTTTTAAATGAATGTTTTTCTGAATATTAATCATCATAAACCAGCCGTTCTTCTGTGAATTAATTAACTTTGTTACCTATTCCTCAAGCCTTGAATCAACCTTATTAGTTATAGTGCTTGTGTTTTGTTCATGTCAAAGAAAGGGGGAATTTCACAACATAGTTTTACAAATTATTGGTAATTTTTTTAGGACGGACTATGTTCATGTTCAGACAACAAAAAATTCTAGGTGCAAATTAAGTTAAAAAAAAAGTGTTTTTTGTATAATTAAAAAAAAAAATTTTTTTTTTTTTACAGGCGCTCGCTCAACCCTTGTAACAGATTATGGGATGCCCTCCAGTCACTCCCAGTTCATCTGGTTCTTTGTTGTTTACTTCTTTCTTTTCCTTTATTTAAGGTGAGTTTGTTTTTTCTTGCTGTTTGTTTCTTGCATGACAATGCTATAACGAACACACAGAGATCACATATTTGTCTTTATATTAACATTATTTTCAGTGTTGATTGCCAAATGAAAATGTACAGCAATGTGAAATAATAATCTGAGAACATAAGTGTGTCTGCTGTAATTTTGGCTTGATGGCTGCTACATAATGGATTTTAGTGAGTTTGCTCCATATACTATACAACATTGCATTACTGTTTAAATTACATTTTTTGTGGTAAGCCACCATGGATGTTGTAATTCCACCATAACCTGAAAAGGGCGCTATTTTAATGCATCAAAATATTTCTTTTCCCCAGAATGCATCAAACGAACAATGCACGTTGTGTGGATTTGCTGTGGAGACATATATTGTCCATCTTCCTGTTGGGCATGGCCTTATCAGTCTCATACAGCCGGTAAGAAACAGGTTAAACAGTAGCCATCAAAGAACAATCACTAGTTATTAGTGACTGAGGTTTTTCCTACAGCGCTGTGCCACCTGTATAACACAGTCTTTGAGTTGATTACATATTTATACACACCCAATATAGAGTTTATACCAGCAAGTATACAAATAATAGTACTGGTAACAGTTTGAAAACATTAGTAAAAAATATTTTTGTGACCCCCCACCCACCTATTCCATTGGGCTCAGACGTTTGTATCTCCGGCTGTTTCCTCACCCCAGCATTTTGTGACTTTGTGTTTATAATACTGTACAGAAATTTTGTGATCCCCCCCACTCACCTATCCCATTGGGCTCAGACTGACTTTGTGTTTATAATACTGTACAGACATCTCGCTGAGCTGGAACTAGTGCGTCCTGTAAATATGTGTTGCAGGTGTTGATTACATTTCTCTGTGATTCCCAGAGTCTACCTGTTGTATCACACCTGGAGCCAAATTTTGTATGGTGGAGTGACTGGGTGTACAATTGGGATTATCTGGTTTTTGTTCACACAAGAGGTGCTGACACCACTATTCCCTAAAATAGCAGCATGGTAAGTAGTACTGTCAATACCCTGCTTTCTCAGTGGGAGACTATTTCATCCATGGTCTGATTAAATGGACCTTACATATGTTTTTGACATCATTTTGAAAAATTTCTCCAGGCCAATATCGGAGTACTTTCTGGTGCGAGACACAAGCCTGATTCCCAACATCCTATGGTTTGAGTACACAGTGACCAGATCAGAGGCAAGGTAAGAGACTGACCTGGCTACGGAGTCCAGACAACACAAGTTCTATTCCCGTTATGGCACAGTGTTTTCACTAAACAGCTTTGTTACTGTGGGTATTATGTTTACACACAGTCACAAAGGTTTAAAACTAGACACGGTTCAGAGTTAGACTTTTTTAGACTAGGTTTTTTTAATTAAAGTAGCAGCTAAAACCCCGCCACACGCTGATACTTCACCTTTGTTTGCTGTTACCGGTCCCTGTTATATTAACGTACTGAGACGCTTTTAATAAGCTTTGCTGCCCTCTGCTGAAGTCAGGCACGTTTTCAAACGTTGAGTTGAGCTTTACTCCGTGTATTCTCAGTTGATTCAGGTCATTAGAGTATAAAACCTGTCGTAACGTTCACACAAATGACCGGGATTGACATAAAGAGAAGTATTCACGTTACTAACTTCTAAAGTTCATGTGTTGGACAGTTGTATTCACTTTCTGAATGTGACAAAATGCGTTAGCAAAACAGTGAAATAACAATTACTTTGTTGCAGCATTGTATCATAACAACGCACCTGTTTGTGTATCTTTTTATGATTTAACTAAAAAATTCTAGAAAAGTTCCCCCTAAAATGACAAATTGAAAAATTGTCTCTTATGGCCAGCGTTAGTCTTGGTCTGATTATCTCGTTGTTCTCTGGTAAATCCTGGTATTTTATACCAGGCTCCTTATGAGACACTATCCAAAGTTTCAGGTTCTTGTACTTGCTTCTAAATGTACGCCAATCTGTACTGTCTGAAAATAATGAATGGTCTTTGTTTTGTTTTGGAGTTTATCTGTTTACGTCATCAGGAAAAAATATTTGTTGTGCTGTTGAAGGACAACTTACGCCGCCTAGTGTTCGGCTGCGGGACTAATTTTTGGGGTCTTTTCTATGGTCATTGAATCCCAAAATTTGATATTGTATTTCATTTCTCTGTGAATCTCCATGGTTTTTCACCCCAGTCTTTTAGCTGGCTTCATCTGTTCTTCTCCTAAAAACTAATATTTCTGGTGCTTTTTAAGTGTCTTCTACGGCCGATTGCTCTCAAAGAAAAACAAACTTTTCTTCTGTTTTGCTTGCTTTGTTTTTTGATCTGCTTGATCTCAAACCTCGACCTTTAGGTTCTACTGAAGTAATTTCTTGGTGAATCTTCACTGACTGTTTAGTTATTACAATCTTGAGGGAGGTGGTTAAAAACAAACCCAAGTACATCAGACTTGCCTGTGCATGTGTTGGTTTGATGATTGCCAAAGTTTTGTATGTTTGTGTCTAAAGTATTAGTAACGTGGCTTCACTTCTTTTATATTCTTTTTTTTTCCTACTAGGAACAGACAACGAAAGCTTGGAACAAAACTTCAGTGATTGACAGATTTTTTTTGTGGGACTGTGTTTAGGACCATTCATACATACATGCAAACACAGAAAAAAAAAATCAAATGCTCATTCACACTGGAGAACCATCTTTTGGACTGACACAGTTGCAAGGATCAAAGGGCAAAAAAAAAAAAAAAAAAAAAAAGTTTACAGGTGGTGTCAGAGTGCCTGGACCTGGCCCAGAACCTACAGCCCGACCAAGTCCGTCCACGCGCCTCTTCTTCGTGTACAGCTTGCTCCAAATGCTCTTCAGTGCATGCAAGTCTGTGCAGGAGGCATACTATTTAATGATAGATTAATATATAGATTTTAACTGTAAACGCACGCTGGCAGTAACATTGTACTGTAAGAGATTCAATGAGCCAATGAGGCGGCTTTGGTCAAATTGCAAACCAATTAGTGGGCGTTATTGCAGCATGAATTTAGTGATTTCTTTTTTTTTTGTTAATTTTTTAATTGTTATAAATAGATGGTGGTTTGTAGGATGGGGGAGGGGGGGTTGGGGGGAGGTTGGGGCATGAAATCCTGGTATTTTATACCAGGCTCCTTATGAGACACTATCCAAAGTTTCAGGTTCTTGTACTTGCTTCTAAATGTACGCCAATCTGTACTGTCTGAAAATAATGAATGGTCTTTGTTTTGTTTTGGAGTTTATCTGTTTACGTCATCAGGAAAAAATATTTGTTGTGCTGTTGAAGGACAACTTACGCCGCCTAGTGTTCGGCTGCGGGACTAATTTTTGGGGTCTTTTCTATGGTCATTGAATCCCAAAATTTGATATTGTATTTCATTTCTCTGTGAATCTCCATGGTTTTTCACCCCAGTCTTTTAGCTGGCTTCATCTGTTCTTCTCCTAAAAACTAATATTTCTGGTGCTTTTTAAGTGTCTTCTACGGCCGATTGCTCTCAAAGAAAAACAAACTATTCTTCTGTTTTGCTTGCTTTGTTTTTTGATCTGCTTGATCTCAAACCTCGACCTTTAGGTTCTACTGAAGTAATTTCTTGGTGAATCTTCACTGACTGTTTAGTTATTACAATCTTGAGGGAGGTGGTTAAAAACAAACCCAAGTACATCAGACTTGCCTGTGCATGTGTTGGTTTGATGATTGCCAAAGTTTTGTATGTTTGTGTCTAAAGTATTAGTAACGTGGCTTCACTTCTTTTATATTCTTTTTTTTTCCTACTAGGAACAGACAACGAAAGCTTGGAACAAAACTTCAGTGATTGACAGATTTTTTTTGTGGGACTGTGTTTAGGACCATTCATACATACATGCAAACACAGAAAAAAAAAATCAAATGCTCATTCACACTGGAGAACCATCTTTTGGACTGACACAGTTGCAAGGATCAAAGGGCAAAAAAAAAAAAAAAGAAAAAGTTTACAGGTGGTGTCAGAGTGCCTGGACCTGGCCCAGAACCTACAGCCCGACCAAGTCCGTCCACGCGCCTCTTCTTCGTGTACAGCTTGCTCCAAATGCTCTTCAGTGCATGCAAGTCTGTGCAGGAGGCATACTATTTAATGATAGATTAATATATAGATTTTAACTGTAAACGCACGCTGGCAGTAACATTGTACTGTAAGAGATTCAATGAGCCAATGAGGCGGCTTTGGTCAAATTGCAAACCAATTAGTGGGCGTTATTGCAGCATGAATTTAGTGATTTCTTTTTTTTTTGTTAATTTTTTAATTGTTATAAATAGATGGTGGTTTGTAGGATGGGGGAGGGGTGGTTGGGGTGAGGTTGGGGCATGTGGAGTTAACCAGTTTTCATTGTTATATAAAAGAGAAGAACAATTTCTAAGATTGGTTATGATGTAATGTAAATGAAAGTTTTCACTGTGAGATTTTCACAAAAAATTGATGACTAACACTTGTTAAATGTTAAGACCCTCCCCCTCCATCCCCCTCCTCCTCCTCCACCTCTCCCCCTCCGGGGTCTTCTTCTCTGACTGTCATTCCTAATACACCGGACTCCAAAGCTTCAAGCTGTTTGAACTCGGTTCACCCTCTGTTCTCGTGAGAGTCGAGGTCTTTTAATCCCACGTTCCCGTCTGAGGCTAATGACACAGAGGCACAGCGGCAGGTTTCTGTGCTTTCTCTTTTTCGTTGGACCGCAGTGTCACTGTCTTTGGCCCTCACACACAGTAGCAGCCTGGGAACAGACTTTTTCTTATTTCACTGTACTGTTATCATGTGTTGCAGAGAAGAGATTTTTCTTCGTTCTTCATTTTCTCTCACAACATTCCATATTCTGTTGTCGGAAAACAGGCATCGACTGCTGGTGTTTTCTTTCTGTCTTTTTTTTTTTTTTGAAGTGTGGAGTAAAAGAAACAGGCCTCAGGTCAGTCGTAGCATGTGATGATGCTTACCTCCTCACAGCCGCTGATGTTCTCAGCTGTCAGCGGGCTCCTGAAGCTGAATTTCAACTGTCATATCATTAGCTCAACAAAGGGAAGTAGTTCCTTAGAGTTTGACCCCTCCCTTCCGATGTGTATCCTATATCAGGCTGAATAAATTGTGTTTAAGTACATTACCTGGTTCAGGTGTCGTCATTAAATCGGCCGCTGTTTCGGTTCAAAACATTTTTTTCGAAAAGCCAAGTTCTTGTGTTCTGGAAAAGGGATCTAAACCCTGATATTATGTTTGCACCTGTAGTGAGGCCTTTTGGTATATTTTAAATAAAAACAAACCTCAAATCTTCATGTGGAGTAAACTAAATTTATGGTTGTAAAAACTTTTTTTCCCCAATGTACTTTATTGATCCCATACTGGGGAAATTGTGTTAACAGCAGATGTGCTGCAACAGACTGCCCGTAGGAGGCGCCAAGTATGCGGTTCCTCTGGGAATTGAACAAGGGAGATACTTAAAAGTAACTTGGTTTAGAGTTAAACAGTTCAATTTTTGTGCTCACGATTTGTCAATTTTTTCCACAGATGTTTTTTTGTCAATAACCTTTAATACTTGGTCAGATAAATGTTGTCTTTTTTTTATTTTTAACTTTTATTTATTTGATTCTAGTTCTTTGGGCCAAAATGTCCTATAGATCATAGCTAAGTGTGTTGTAAGTGCCTTGCTGAACATAGGTGGTGCTCAGACAACTGCCCTGAAATCTCTTAACCAATTGCTGTCCCTGGGATGTTTAGTGCTGAGCTACTGTGGATTTGTGGAGCTGTACACCTCTGAGCAATATTGCCATCAAACTTAAATGACACCAGGTGTATTTTATTTGATCCGTCTACCAATGTGCACACATCTTTTAAACTTATATTTGAAGTTGAGCCTGATGTAATCTTATTTGTGGCCCCCAACGTAGAACCAAAGATTTCATCAACAGATTCACAACTCGACTGTTAAACAACTGCCACACAAACGCACTCGTTTTCTCTTTCTAACTATTTTACACTGCATCTTTAGAAGTTACACACAGTTCTTGCCTGTTAAACACCTGGCCGTGTATTTACAAAGGTAACTGGAGCGTGTAAATACAAGTACTGTATGTGGGTCATTGCATTTACTTGGCCTAATTTTATTCTAAAATGTGGAAAAAAAACACAACAACTTTAGCACAGCTCATAGAATAACTTCAGGCCTCTCCCTTTAGGTTGCAGTGTATAAAAGAAACATCTGCTTTATTGAAGTAAGCCATTCTGGTTTTTAATCAGTTCTCCAGGTCTGACCTCAGGCTATCCCCAAACACCCGTGGGGAAAAGACGTAGCCTAGATAGAAATGGTAAAGACCTAATTCTATCTCTCCAGGCTGTTGTCTCTCCCTGCATTGTTTGGATGTGTAAATCTGTAGATTTTTTTAAATGTATATTTTGTTTACAGTGGATGTGGCTGTTGTTTTTGATGCCGTTGTTAATTTCATAATATCTACATGTGGTGGTAACGATTCTTTGCCTAAAAATCAGAGGAAGTGGAGAATGACAGTCATGGATAAATTGTTGAATTTTTTAACTGAAACCCTTATTAGTCTGTGTGTATTTTTCTTTTTGAAGAGCGCCATCTCCCTTAACTCAGTGGCAACTGCTGCACTCAAACCCACTATAACGATACAGAGTCACTGTTAACGTCATAGTAAATCCCAGTCACCGGTAGAACATTTGACGTTTGTCTTTTCCTATTCGGTCAAACTGAGGTAGCACTTTAGCATGGCCACTAGATGGCAGCTATTGTACATCTACTAATGTAATAGCTGACTTTATTTCTTCAGGACAGATTCACTACACACACACACATAGACAGTTATTTTTATATATATGTTTCACATGTAATATCTTTCAATACTGGTATTTTTTACGTAAAGTGTACGTAAAGTGGATAAACATGTGAATTTACGCTTTTTGTTTCTCGTGTTCCTAGTGAATTCATTTCTTACCCTGGTAATATTTGTTGTAGTGCAGTACATGAAGTCTTCATCCTCTTTTATTAGAGGCCCTGCTGACTTGACAACTTAGCTATTCATGCTATTTGCTATTTAATTATTTTCATATAAGTTATCTGATGACTTAGTATCTGAAGCTCGACGGCTTCTCCTGGACTGGTTGGTTGTAAAGACCAGATATTTTAGCAGCTGCACATATGCTGAGTCTTCTAACACATTCCTAACCAAACAAAGAGATACTAGCACTGTAATGCTCTTTCATCTGGGGAAACCCAGTTCGATGGTACAGTATAGAACAAATGCACATTACACTGTTGACAGAAACTGTAATTACATCTTAATTACAGTAATTACCATCAGTAGCCTGTGGTTATTCAGCGTTTGTCACACCACATCTGACATCTTCTTCAGCTCAACAAACAGTGATTCCGGTCCGCCCCGCACTCCATGTGTCTGCCATGGAAATCAACTGAAACGAAGCCAACTTGAAATCACATTATATCTTCTTTAATGTGCTCAGATCTTCGGTGTCGGCTGTATTCCTGTCCATTATCCACACTCCTGTGAGATGTCACAGTAAATGTCTGTCCATGTCATCTGAGCAAGGACATCTGCTTAGTCCGACTGAGGACTGTCTCCTGAGTGAAGTCACGATCACTCACAGACCACGTGACAACACTTTCCCGCTCTGCGCTTGCTTGAAGTAAATGAGTGAAATCATGCATTTTTTAAAACTGGGAACTTTCTTTATTTTGAA